AGACACTGTGCTGTGAGCTGGAAATACAAAGATGAAGGAGACCCTACTCAACAGAATTAAGTCTAGCCAGCAAAACCCCAACAGGACAATTATTTAAATGGAGCTCGTTAAACCTGGTGACAGAGGTGTATTTAGGATGCACCTAACTCATTCTAGAGGAATGGGGCTCTGTTAACCATACTCTCTCCCTCCCTTTCTTTTTGGTACTGTGGAAGGAACCCAGGGGCACTCTACTACTAAGTTACATCCCCAAACTTTTTATTTATTAAATTTTGAGACAGGATCTCCCTGAAGTGTGGAGGCTGCTCTTGAACTTTCTCTTTCCTTTCTTCCTTCCTCCCTTCCTTTCCTTCTTTCCTTTCTTCTTTTCTTTCTTATGGAACCCATGGCCTTGTGCATGCTACTCAACCACTTTACCAATAAGCCACATCCTCAGCTCCACATTTACGTATTAAAGCATTACTTTAACAAATTTTATTGAACACCTACTAATGGCAGACACTGTTAAGCACTGAGGACAGACTAGTGAGTGAGAACATTGTCTCAGCTGCCTAATAGTGACCTTTACCATGAGACCCACTGAAATGACATTGGAGGGAGAACCATGGTTTGTGATTCAGATTCCTAGATAATGAGCTACTAAAGGTACATAATGGACTTAACAAATTGACCTAATTCAGACAGGCTATTCACAATGGCCAGGTTCTTTTGGTACATGTAAGTGGTTTCCAATGACTTGAGGCAGGTAAGGGCTATGAGTCTTCTTTTCCAGCACGTCCCCACTGAATGATATAGTCATCCCTTGTACCCTCCAGGGCTTGGTTGAGGAATGCCCCCTTTCCCTGGCTCCCAGACCAAATCTGAGGATGCTCAAGCGCCTTGTATAAAATGGAGTAGTTCATGCATATAACCTGTGCACATCCTCCTGCATACTGGTTTTTTTGGTACTGGGGATTGAACACAGGGGTGCTTTACCACTAAACTACATACATCTCAGTCCTTTTTCTTTTTTTAAAAAATTTTATTTTGAGATAGGTTCTCACTAAATTGTTGAGCAGCTCATGAAGTTGCTCAGGCTGGCTTTGAACTTTGACCTCTCAGCCCCCTTATATACTTTAAAGGTACTGGCTTACAGGCCCTGATACAGTGTAAACACTAGGCAAATACTTGTTACACTGTGTTCTTTTGGCAGGAGCTGGAGATAGAACCCAAATGCCTCACACACACTAGACCTGCTCTACCACTGAGCTATGTCCCCAGCCCTGACGTCCCTGTTAAGGACTAGTGAAAAGAAAAAACATCTGTACGTAGTCAGTACCAACGCAACTTTTTTGGGAATATTTTCAATCTAGGGTTGGTTGAATCTGCACAAGCAGAACCAATAGCCTGTCATCTATATTCCAATGAAAGCAAGCCTCAGACTGAAATGTGCCCTGCATGCTTTTTGAGCATGTACAAACCATTCATAGGACTATCCTTTGAAGTTCAGTATAAGCACTATGCTTTCAGACACTCCACCCAACACTTGCACAGAGACAATGCTTGGAAGCCCTTACTACTGAGCTCCCCACTGGCTCCTGCCATTTTTTAATCGAATTCAACTTGAACTGAGGCAGGAGGATCGAAAGTTGAATCAGAAATATAAGTTTCTCAAAGTTAAATTCATGGGCTGGGGCTGTGTGGCTCAGTGATAGAGCACTTGCCTAGCATGTATGAGGCAGTAGGTTCAAACCTCAGCACCACATAAAAATAAGTAAAGGTATTATGTCCATCTACAACCAAAAAAAAAAAAATGGGGAAAAATGTCAACCACATGTCATAGCTAACTTAAAAAAAAGAGTCAAATTCATGCTTTAATTGAAGTTTTTAAAATTATTATTATAATAATTTCTGTCATCAGGGATTGAACCCAGGGGTGCTTTATCATAGAGCCACATCGCCATCCCTTTTTAAAAATATATTTTATTTAGAGACAGGGTCTTGCTGAGTTGCTGAAGGCCTCACCAAGTTTGAGGAGGCTGGCTTTGAACTTGTGATCCTCCTACTTCAGCCTCCAGAGCTGCTGGGATTACAGGCATACACCTGCACCCAGCTGCTCAATTAAAGTTTTTTGTTTGTCTGTTTGTTTTACAGTTTTAAAAGCATTTCAATTTTGAGAAAAAAATTTAAATTGAAAGAACTTTTGCAAATAATTTTTGAAGTCCAATTTTAAAATTGTCATTACCAGGAAGACACTGCAATATTTTACTCCAATCCCAATCTTATTTATTTCTTCATTTAATTTTGCATATTGGGGTTAAAAATCAAGGGTATTTACCACTGAGCTAAATCTCTACCCTTTTTAAGTTTTTAAATTTTGAGATAGGGCCTCACTAAATTGCCCAAGCTGGCCTCAAGTTTGTGATCCTCCTGCCACAGCCTCTTGACTTGCTGGGGTTACAGGAGTGCACCACTGTGCCCAGCATCCAATCTCAATCTTGGTAAAGATCTAGCATTAACTAGTAGCCACAAGGATCAAAAAGTGATTC